CCCAACCAAATCATGGCAGAAAGCTGCCCAGTTCCTATCTGAGCTCATTGCTTACAATTTTGGAACTCACAAAACCATAAGTAGTAGATGATTTGTAAATGTGTAAGAGTTACCTGTGTCTAGGGAGTGTGTGTGTGTGTGTGTGTGTGTGTGTGTGTGTGTGTGTTGCATGCATGTGTGAGACACCCTTAAGGATTGTCCTGGTATGGTGGAGAGACACATTTGTGGTTTCTTCACATCTGTAGTCTTCTCTTACTATCGTCCTACCCTCCTAGTTCTCTGTATCTTGGTACATTTCCAGTCCTCCTAGGCCTCTGATTATTCTTTTCTCCCTGCCCACTTACCCCAGGGCTGGGAGCATGTGCACTGCTTTGTCTTTCCATGGATCTAAACAGCCTTGCTGAGCTTGCCTAAGCCTCCATCATCAGGTGGTTTGGAAAATATAAGGGGATAGAATCAATGCCAAATAACTGTCGTTTTTCCTCTGCCCCGGGCCTGGCAGAGCCTAGGGGTCCTGTAAGAGTGAGGGACTTAGAAGTGTGGTGGGTCTCTAAGGTCTCTGGGCAGGTGCCATGGAGAGGCATCTCTAGTCTGAGGCTAGGGGCTATAGCAGTAGTGTGTGTATGAAGGTTAAAAGGTTCCATCTTTGTGGATTGATAGCCTTGGGGACAGTGCTCAGCTTGTGGAGAGTAGCAAGGACATATGTCAAGAGAGTAATGGTGGAGTTATTGTGCTCTTTTTTGTGTAGGAGCAGCCAACCTCAGGACAAGCACTCTCACCATGACCTTAGGAACCAAGTGAGGCCCTCTTGGGGCCACTTTGGACCCCACTCACTCGCTACTGTGTCCCTTCTCTTACTACCCAATAAACTGATTCTGTATCCCCATGGCTCTGTGACTCTTTGGAGATGCCTTTGAGCAGGGCACAGTGGGCCTTGATCCCAGTCCTCTTGGGAGACTGAAGTTGATTCTGGCCACTTAGGGATCTACTGGGAGAAGGGGCAGGAGGTTTAAATTTGGTGTAGAGACATTGCTGCATCCACAGGGAAAATTAAGCATAGTGTATTTTAGTGAAACTGAGGTGCCTTGTGAAGATGGATCCTGGTCTCACTGGTTGGATGTAGGAGTTGGAACTGGAACAGCAGGAGGAGCATGGCAGTGGCTTGTCTGGGTTTTGCTTCCCACTACTGTGATCTTGGGAAAATGGTTTGGACCTCTGGGAGCTTGAGAAATGGGTCAGGGCAGCGGCTAGTGTGCTTCTAGACCTTGCTTGGCTAGCTGTTATGTATATTCCATGACAGACTCCTGGAGGCGAGTAACTCTTCCCATTCTTGTTTCTCAGATTAAGACACTGAGGCACAGAGACTGGACAAGTTATTCAAGGTCACATGACAGACTCTGTGTTGCTCTTGAATGAGAGGTGGGATACAGGGGTCCTTCCCCAGGGACCATCACTGCTGTTGCCTTCATGTCACAGAACCCCATTCTTTCAGTGGGTCTAGTTCTCATTCTTCAAAGGGCCAGGTGTGAGGATCCGGAAGGTGCTGGAGTTCTGGTCCATTGCTCATTAGTGTCTGTGGTCCTCAGACACCAAGAACCAGAAGCAGTCAGCCCTCACAGGTGCTGCCCTCATCCTGTCCTGGTCATCCAGAAAACCAGAGGCCACCTACTCCACTTCCCTTTTTCTCACTCCTACCAGCCAAACCCATCTCTGTGTCCCCAGGGGCCCTGACTTGTCAGCCTCTTACTGGGACCAGTGGGTCCTCAGATTCCCTTCTGATGTCCCAAGGTCTTTGGATGGTTCCTTGTGTTAACCAGTGTGCTTTCCAACTCATCCCTTACACTTTCCTGGCAGTCCACCCCAGTGTCTTCTCTAGCCTTGTTTCCCCCGGAGGGTGGGCTTCAGTGGCTGGGACCTCCCTGTGAGCTGTCCAAGTCTGGAGCAGCTCCATGTGGGTCCAAAAGATTAGAGACCAGCCCTGCAGGATGAGGGATACTGACCTGGATAGAGTTGTTTTGGGAACCTACAAACCTCACAGCACCTGACCATCAGCAGTACAGTCTTAGAGCTAGAGAGTTGGGTTCCCAAGGTGACCAAACTCTTTTTGGGGGGTGCCAGTTTTATCTTTTTTCCCCAGAGGGTGAGAGGTTTTGCTTTAATGTTGATCACAAATAAAGTTGATTTTCAAAATAAAAGCTGCCTTAAAATTCTCAGTGGTCTGAGAGATGTTTGTTTTTATATATTTAGAAACCATGCCATTGGGGATGGGAGGATGTCCCAGTTGATAAAGTGCTTCCCTCAGAACCCAGGTAAAAAGCCAAGCATGGTGGTATGCATTTGAAATCATAGGATGCAGTGCTCTGGAGACAGAGATAGGTGGATCTCTGCGGGCTCACTGGCTGGGCAGCTTGGCCTCTTCAGCAAGGTTAGTGAGACTGTCTCAAAGAATAAGTGACCAACCAACCAACCAACCAACCAATGAACTAACTAACCGACCGATCAACCAACCAACCATCCAGAGAAACAAACAAGTAAACAAAACAAACCACAAAGTGAATGATACCTGAGGAGTAACACCTGAGGTTGACCTCTGGCTTCCACATCCATGTGAATATGTGCACACCTTTCCCCAACAGGAACACACACACACACACACACACACACACACACACACACACACACACACACACACACATATACACACCACACACAGTCAAGTTGTGTTACTACCCAGGACTTTGTGGAAACTTGCAGCCAAGAGAGGTCATAGGCAGAGTGAAGAGTGGTCCTGGACGCACTGGCAGGAGGTCTGGGTCTCACCGGCAGGAGCGAGTGCAAGCTGGGAGGGTCAGTCCATTCCAGACTTACATCCTGGAGCACCCCCACCTCCATGTGTGAAGTAGCTTTCTCCCTCAGCCTGCAAGGGTCCGATTTGCCATCGAAAGACAACCTCTACTTTTTTCTTTTGTATTTTGATAAACACTGAAGAAGCTGGAGCTGTTAAATTTATCTTGGGGAAATCTCAGAACTGGTTTATTTGGTGTCCTGGAACCTCTTACTGCTTTCAATACACAATTTCAATACACAATCAACTGTTTTGTATACTTGTTTTTAGTTTTCATTTGGAAGTGAGATTCCTGGGAGGTGGGTGACCTAGGGCTCCATGCCCAGTTCAATATTTTGCTGCTGTTTTAAAATACTCTGGTACAAATGGGGAAACTGAGATGGTTCAGCCTCAGTGTATGGTCCGTCATTGTCCAAATACTAGGATGGAGGCAGCTTGAGTGCAGTCTTAGCTTGGTCCAACCCCTGTTTGGATGTGGGTTGATGTAGAGTGAGCAGAAATTGAGTCTGTGAGTAGCTGGCAGTTAGCTTTACCCAATGACATTCTCTGGGTGGTTGCACATGCTTGCACACTCTCCAAATATAAGCCCGTGCCCTCCATAAGCAGAAGCCACAAGACAGGCCCTGAGATGGAAGCCAGGCTGCTGAACACCATCTGGCGACTCTTCCTGGTGTACCTGCTGCAGGCAGAGTCTACAAGGGTGGACCTAGTGCCAGAGAAGGTGCCTCTTCTTAGCTTGGAGGCATGACTGGGGCTTGATGGGAAGTTGGGCTGGGAGGGAATGGTGTATAACCATTTTAAGTCTCTCTCCCCTTCTATCCAACTCCTATTTTGCTACAGCATAGCTGGCAGAGGCAGGACCCACTCTTGAGGCCTCTGTCCCCAAGAGGGCAGGCAGTGCAGGGTCCTAGTGAGGCTCTGAGTTCCATGGACCTCTCCCCTCCATGAGTTCTCTCATGTGCCACCTGTGTTGAGGCAATAGCTGCTGTCCTCAGCCTGGTCACCTGTGGGTCCTGGGTGATTTACAGATTTTGGGTCCCTTCCTGTTCCCTGGCTCACAGGGTTCCTCTGACCCCACCCCTGTGCACTGTGGAGCCAGAAGAGGACTTCTCCAGAGTGGACAGCTTGTTTGCTTGGATTCCTCTTTCTATGCCTCAGATCCTTCCCGAGACCAGCAGAGTCACATTGTAAACTCAGAGGGATCAGGCTTTGGGGGACACAGATTCTTTTCTCTTCTAACAGTAACCAGTTTCTAAAAGTTTCAGGTGATATCCAGTCTTGTGTCAGGATCTTCTGGAAGGAACATTTCTGTCTGGTGTCCTGAGAAGGAAAACTCGGAAAACTTGGCTGAGGACAAATGGCCTCCCAGTCTCATGACTATCTATTGAACTCTCAAAGCCCACCCACTCCCTGCTCGAGGGTTCCTGAAATGCCCTCTTAGCCCAGGAGCTGGAAACCCAGTTTGGTTTGATAGCTCTAGTTCTGTTCCCTAGATTGCAGGATTCTGGAAGGAAGTGGCTGTGGCTTCTGACCAGAACCTGGTGCTGAAGACTCAAAGGAGGATAGAGGGTTTGTTCCTCACCTTCAGTGGGAGGAACATCACCGTGAAGGCTGTGTACAACAGGTAAGAGGCCAGCGTCATTTGTGGATGTGACCTTCTGGGAAGGAGGAGACATATATATAGTTGAGCACTGTCCAGTGTATACCTCTTGTAGTGGTGAGGTCATCAGTATATGGACCAGCTTTCCCTGTGTCCACCTGCTTGTGCCCTCCAACTGCAGAGAAAGTTAGATCTCAGGCTCCTAGAGCCGCGTTTCTGCCAAAATATAAGCAAGGGCTTATGATAAAGCTCTATTGGTTGATAAGAATGTGTGGGCAGTAGCTGGATGGCTCCCTGAAGGTGAGAAGCTAGGGCAGCCCTACCCCATGCATGGTTCCTTTCCTGTGGATCCTAGGCTCCAGGATGCTTCCCAGCTTGCCAGCACCTTTCTGAAGGTGTGCCCCACTCAGGAATGTGCCCAGCAGGTGGAATGAAGGCTGGCAGGTTCTTAAACACTCTGTTGCTGTTTAGCTCAGGGAGCTGTATGACGGAAACATCAGTGGGCTCAAGAGGAAATGCTGCGGGGGATTTTGCTTTTCCTGGTAAGTACTATTGCCTTGTTACTAAAGTTGCCTGGCCCTGGACACTATCTTGCTATCTCCCCTGGCCTCCAGGCTCCCCGTGCCCTTCCTGGGATTCTCAGGCCCTGGACCCCAGGCCCCTCATTTCTACGAGTGTACTGGGTTGACTTCAGAAGTTATCTTCCCAGGATGTCACAGGCAGGTCCCAGCACTAGGCAGAAACAGAAGGGAGTTAGATTCTGCAGATCCAGCCTTCAAGGTCAGCCCCCTGTAGTATTGAGATTTGAGCAAGGCGCCCTAACCCTGCCACTGATTCCTGAAGGCCACAGGAAGATCTGCGTGCTGGAAACAGACTATGAGCACTATACCATCCTGAAGTTGTCCCTGCTGTGGCAGGGCAGAAACTTCCATGTGCTCAAGTACTTCAGTAAGTTCAGCCTGGGTTGGGGCAGAGCCCTGTGGCTGCCTTACTTCAGGCTGCCAGCTCAGCTCTGCTGTACTCCACAGCTCGAAGCCTTGAGATTGAGGATGAGCCCGGCTTCTGGAGGTTTCGGGAAATGACAGCAGACCAAGGCCATTACATGCTGGCCCGACATGGTGAGCATGGCACCTTGGGGAGGATGCTGGATCAGGCCCCTGTTATGGGGTCTGATGCCCTCCTGACTGTACCACATACTGTCCCTTCCCACAGGGAGGTGTGCTGAGCTCTTGAAAGAGGTGAGCCCATTACCCTTGGTCTACATTTCAGCCCAGCCTTCATGGAGCCCCTGCTGGGCACTACTAGATCCTGGTCCTGATCCATCCCTCCTCTGACCAGGAAAACCAACAGCCCTGATAGGCAGCTTCAGATGCATCTGTTTTGTAGTTTGGAAAGAACAGTTTGCCACCTGACTCCAAGCTGTCATGCTGGGCTCTTGGGGGTGGGACAGAACTAGGTTGGAGAAGGGAGGTACATTGTTTGTATTGTTCTGTCCAGCAGGGATGTGCATGGCTTGGGGCCAGTTCTATCTCTTCGTGTCCTACTAGTTGGTGGGATCGGGAGATCAGCTCTGTTGGATATCTTGGGGTTTCCTATGTCTAACACCGTGCTAACCCACCACCTACACAACCTCACCATTACAGCCAGTTGACACTATAGCTCATTTTGCAGATAAAGACTCTAAGGCCCAGGGAACCAGTGCTTTGCCAAAGCCAGGCAGCTGAGGTACCAGGTATCAAGCTTATGACACTTGACCAGCACAGGGTTCCTGAAGGCCACACATGGCTCTAAGCTCTTCTGTTCTGCCTACAGGGAATGGTCTGAATAGCTTCTGCCCTGGCCTGCGGCTGCAGCCCCACCTACCCGGCCTCTCATGCTCTTACCTGAAGGGCCTCCTGTACCTGCTTCAAATAAACCCTGCTGCCAAATGCTGCCCAGCATCTTTCCTGGGGGCAGGGTAAGGGGTAGCAGGAATGTTTCTTTGGCCCAGGTGGAGGAGACAAGCCTGCGTTTTCCGGGAATGCTTGGTGAAGAATGTGCCTCACATACAGGGCGGCCAGTCCAGACTCCCATGTGAAAAGGTCCTGATCCACCCTGCCCTGCCCTGCCCTGCCCCATTCACGCTACCCTGAGCAGTGGGTCCCACAGTCCCCTCCTCATCCTGGAACAGTGTTCATGAATGCTGGTGGCACTCTGGGATGCTATGAGGAAAAATGAGAGCAGGTCTGGAACTTTGTCGGCCATCTGGGCAGAGGAGCAGCAGAGAGATGCTTTTCAAAAAGGGCTGCCACATGGTCAAGGCCGTGCTGGGGGCAGAGCCTCCAGGAAAGACACGCAGAAATGTGTAGCTCTGACTGTGAGGGAGCCTCTAACCCTTCCACTGCCTGCTTTGTTGGTTGCCTACTTCTACAACTATCCTTGACACATCCCTCTAGGTGTCTTGTCCCCATGGGCAGCTGACATTCAGAGGACAGAATTGAGTCTATACCGGGGCCCCTTTCCTGAGGCCAGTACGCACGCAGTACCTGGTGCTACATTCTGGAGATGGCAAGGTGTTGCAGTGGCCACTGTGTCTGTCTTGTTGGAGGATGGGCGGGGCAGAGTGCAGTTTAGCAGGATCCTGAAGGGTTTCTTTATTTCTTCAAAAGGCAGGAAAAATGCTTTCCATCTCTCCTGAACATTCTTTTTTTGCACAGAGATTCCCTAAGAATACAGATTCTTACAGTTACCGGTGGTCGTACACCCCATTCAAAACTCCTGGTGCTGGACGTTCCTTGAGCTTACTTCATTGGACTTGAGTGATCGAGTACAAATCACCATTTCTAGAATGAGATCAGGATAGCTCAGTTCTGAACAGACCCAATGTTCTTTTGAGGTTGGAGGGGTCAGAGAGGATTGGATTGATCACTGGCTGCCAATCTGGGGCTTGCTGAGATGAAAAGGGCTCTGGACACAGCATTAATGGCTGCCTGACTTTGTCTGAGCTCCAGAATAGCTGGTGACTGTTTTTCAAGAAGTATTCTGGGAACACTGGCTTTGGGCTCCATAGGGAAGAAAGAGGTGCATTAGTCCACTAGCTGGGCCACCAGAAGATCCAGCTTGCCTTCACCTCTGTGTGCATTAGCTGTTCCTTTTTTTTTTTTTTAAAAAAAAAAAAAGATTTTATTTATTATGTAACATTCTGCTTCCGTGTATATCTGCACACCAGAAGAGGGCACCAGATCTCATAACGGATGGTTGTGAGCCACCATGTGGTTGCTGGGAATTGAACTCAGGACCTCTGGAAGAGCAGTCGGCACTCTTAACCTCTGAGCCATCTCTTCAGCCCCATCTCCTGCATCATTTTTATATTCCTTAACTGTTCTCCTTGTGTTCTCCCTGTCTCCTCTTTCCCACTCCTTATCATTTGAACTCTGGCTGTAGTTGTCAGTACTCCCCTATCTTTGTCTGTGCCTTGCAGGGTCAGGGCCTGGGTTTTCCCTAGGGGATGTCGCAAGGGGCTGTCTCTTTGCTGTGGAGACTACACAGGTGGCTTGGTCCTGTGTGTCTCATTCTTCACCTGAAAGCTGGAAACTGTGATCTCTGCCCTCAAAACAAGTTTGGGAGTAAAGATAGTGCCAGGGAAGCAGGGCTGGCTTTAGCTCAGGCATTCTGGCTGCTCATCTGGTGGCCCTTGGGTGATTGCTGTGGCTTCTTCAAAGTACTCAGTAAGAGTCATAGGCTGGGGGGAGGGGAGTTCCACAATGTTCTGACCTACTCCTTAATATTTTCATCCTGATGAACATAAAGCCGCACAGATCCAACCATGCTTGGCTCCAGTGTCCTCAGTCCTGCCCCCGCCATTCCCAGGCCTCTGTTGCCTGGATCACTTGCTACAGTTGGCAGAGTTCTTCCCCTAGTAAATCTTTATCTTCTCTGTGCATATGGCTAAAGCCTGGCAAGGGGCTTTGGTGGAGCCTGCTCTGTCACCCACACACAACTGGAAAGGAGCAGCTCAATTGCTGAGTGGATTCATGCATATGTGAGTGGACACTCAGGGACAAGCTCTGTGTCCCCTGGAGGCAGTCCCCTGAGGCCCTGCTATCCAGCAGATAGGTGAGTCACCTGGCTGGTTTACAGAGTGCTTCCAATCCAACCTAATGAGAACCTTCTATGCCTATTCCAAGCACCCACAGGAAGGATATAAAGTTCAGAGACTCTGAGCCAAAAGCTATGGCTTCCTGTGGTTGGGGAGCTGAACCCAGGTACTACCTGCTAGGCACATGGAGAACAACATAGTCTTCACTCTGCTGGGGCTGTGCATGTGTCTGCTCATGGGGTGGGCTCTTGACCCTCAGAATGGCACTACAGGAAGACTTCAACACAACCCAGATAGTCACAGTTATAGTGAACCAAGTTCAGTGCTTTTCCATGGGGGTTGGATCCTGCCTAGCCAGCCTTCAATACTCACCATCTTGGGTACTCTTCACCCCTAGAATTTTCCAGACTGCTGTATACCTTGGAAGGGAGAGACATAGAATGGTTCTCAGGGTCCCAAATGCTGATGGTGATACACTCGGGCAGTTCCTTCTTCTAACCCCTATCCCCAAGTTTTCAGGCTTGTGGTTTGAGGTCGCCTTTGCCGCCAATACTTATGACACTGACTACAGGGATGATGAGAAGGTGGGAGCCTTGAGAGTTGAGACGGAAAACAAAAATCTGGTCCTGACAATCACCTAATTCCAGTGAGTTAAGGCTTTGCCTATGGCCCTAGAGGAAAGTTGGTGTAGCCTGTACGTGCTCTCTGCTTTTCCCAGAGATGAATCTCCCCATGTCTGAGCCTCAACCTCAGCTTCAGAGAGAGATGAAGAAGCAACTGTTTCAGATGGGACCAGATAATCTTTGGCATCCTGGGTGTTCCACTGTCTATCAAGACAGTTTATGGAGTGACCTATAACTCCACAATCACGATAGGAGTTTGGCCTCCAAGACTGCCACCCTGGACTCTGAGCAAAGAAAGTAATTGATCAGACAGCTTTAAGGTCCAATTTCCTAGCTTTAGGGTCATGAGACATGCCAGTTTCTGACTGACAGATGGCGAGGCCTGAGGAAAAGCAAGCCAAGGCTGACCCGAGTCATCTCTTCATCCTGGCAGAGCCAAAGTTCCCATGTATCTATTGGCCAGTAGACACCTTCAAGCTGCACATGTGAAGCCAGATTCTCTTCCACAATGTGCATGTCCCTATTCTCAGAGTGTCCCTTTACAGTGTATCATTTTGTCACAGAGTGGCCCTCAGATATGTATGTGCTTCTGCTCCTCAGAGGCTGATTCCCTCAGTCAGGCATGCCCTCAGGTGTATGTAACCATGCTTCTCAGAGTATGCCTTCAAATGTGTATCCTTTCATCTTAACATGTGTCCCTGAATGTGTCCCTCAGCTCTGAGTGTGTCCCTGATTCTCTTCACCTCAAGACTGTGTCCTTCAGATGTGTGCAACCCTGTTCCTCAAAGACTATGTACCTCACACATGTGTGTGTCTTTGCTCCTCAGAGTGTGCCCCTCAATAAGTGTGTTATTGTGCCACCAATTGTGTTCGTCAGTCACAAACATTTCCCTGTTTCATAAGAGGTTCTCCCCTCAAATCTGTGTTCCTTTACTTCAGGAAGTTTGTCATTCACATATGTGTTTCCCTACTCCTGAATGTGTTACTCATATCAGTGTGTCCATCTTTCTCAGGCTGTGTCCCTCAGTGGCAGAGAGTGGGCCTCTTAGGTGTGTAGGTTCCTGTCCCTCCCACTGTGTCCTTCAGACACAAGTGTGACAGTGTTCCTCCGAGTCTGTATCCCTCAGGGTGTGGCTTTTAATCCTCTATGTGTCTTTGAGCACAAGAGAGTGGCTTCTTAGGAGTCATCAGGGGCATATTTCCATAGCTAGTACTTCTTGATACTCCTTCTCCTTCTCACTGGGTAGCCACTGGGTAAGGGGTCCTGTTCTCTGGGGTTAAGGGCTCAGCAGACATTAGGACACCTGTATCTGTCTGGTTTCTGGACTCCAGGGTTGCTTACTATGCCCACCACCTCAGAGCATGCAATGTAAGGCCTGATAGGCAGGAGGCCGGGAGTCTCCTTCACTCCTCCCGCTTTGTCTGTCTGTATAACCCAGGCTGCCCTGAGCTATATGTCTAGGGATGTATGTATACAGGGATGAGTCCTGTGTATAAACACACCTAAGAGACCCACTCTCTGCCACTGAGGGTCACACTGTTTTCCCCCTTTTTCTGTCTGTATAGCCCAGGATGTTCTGACTTGGGCATATAGCCCAACTTGGCCTCATACTGCAATCTTCTTAATTCGGTTCCCCTCACCTCCCGTGTTGGCATTACAGGTTGGCCTATCTTCTTGTCTTTGTAGTAAGGACATCTGTGTGCTGGAGACGATCAAGGCTTCTCAAACAGGCGACTCATGGAAGTTCATGGTCACCACAGCAGTAGGCATGATGCTGTCCTAGGTTTGGAGGGTGTGGTGGCCTATCTGGGGCACTTTGGTTTAATCTCAGTATGTACTTTCACTGTTCTGGATGCGGAGCAGGACCCTTGTCTTGCTGAGGGCATTCTGAGGCTTGACTGAAGCCCTCAGTGCCAGTCTGCTCAGTACCAGGATGCCATGCCCAGGAGTCAGGAGCCTTGGTGGATGCCCCTGCACCCACTATCCCCAGTCTCTGTCTTTGCCAGGACTTTGGCAGCCTCCTCTCTGAAATCCTAGATGTGACTCAGGGTTCCTTTACCTGGGTCAGTGGGAATCCCTGCCGTCCTCTTCAGAAAATCCTTTGGACTCTCAAGGCTCATTC